TTTTGGGCAGCTCCTCAGCACACATCACACACAGCCTATGCTCCAAGGCAGAGGGAGCCCTGAAGAGCTGCTGGGACACCAGCTGCACAGCACGAGACCTCCCCCTTCCCTCCCCGGGGAAATCCATGAAGAAAAGTTACCTTTGTCTGCACGGCGCCTCTCTGAAACAAACAGCAGGAGAGACGTGTTACACAGGTGGAGACTGGACACAGTGATGAAGAGCGCCAAGCAATGCCCTTTCCACTCCTACCTATGCATGCAGGGGCTGTCCCTCACTGTCCCCTTGGCCACACCACACCTGGGTCCCCAAACCCGTTGCCCCTCCAGATGGGTGAAAGGAGCTGTCCGTAAGTTATGGGGGCAGTGCACTGCAAGGGTGGTGGAGTCAGCCCCCTCCCAGAGTTACACCCCCAGCAAAGCTGAGGGGAAACGGAAGAGAAGTGGTAGCAGGTTACAGGCTGGAAATGGAGTTAAGGCACCTAAACCCCCTTATCTCTGCCCTGCCCTTACACCCTGAGGAAGGGGGGACCTCTAAGCTATTTTTAGTAACCATGATCCCTTCACTGAAACCTGCAGACCCAATCCTGCACTGATCAGGGCTGCGGGACTAGCACTGAGGTCCGGGCAGGGCAGAGTTAAGGTTGGTTGTGTGCTCCAGGGTGAAGTCCTGCCCCTCGCCCCACTGCAGGCCATGGATGGGCCAGAGCCCAGGGGATCCCGTACGAGGATGGATCCTGCTACGTGCTGGTCAGGTCTCCCTGTCTCCTGCATTGATGTGGACCAGGCAGGCGAGGGCTGCTCAGGGCTGTGGGCTCAGGGAGCCCTGGTCTAATAGCCACAGTGCTGGGAGACCCCAGTCCCTCCCCACCAGAGCTGGGGTCTGCAGTGGAAATGGAGATGGTCCTGGGCAGGGATCAAAGCCGTCTGTCACCCGCCCTGCTATAATCACGTGAATGCTCTTGGCTCTGTCCCCTGCAAGGCCATGCACAGACCTGAGCCGGCTTGACTGAGCTAATGGGACTGACGAAAGCACCTTTCTTCCGTGCCTGGACAAGAGCTCAGCACAACTTACCACGGGACTGGCAGGTGCATCCGTGTCCCTGGGGGGAGTGAGGGGCTCCCTGTGCTGTGAGAGATGTTGCATGGGATCATGGGATCCATTCAGCTCAGGTCAGAGCTCTTTTCTGCTTCCACTGCAACCTATTTCCAATCATTTTTTTTTGCTATAAACCGTCACAGAATATTTTAACACATCCCACATCTACCCAGCACTCATCTTTCTTGCTCTCCAGTTCAGACCGCAGGGCCTCTGGGGACAGAAGGGGGAGAGGTGAGATTCACCCAGTTGTGTCTCTGATATCATCCTCTTGTAGCACATATAACACCTCAGACACTCACCTTTCTCACTTTCCAGCTTGGATTGCAGAGTCCCTGGGGGAGAGAAGGGGCAGAGGTGAGATTTCTCCCTGTCCAGGTGATAGTGCGGTTCCTGCCATGAGCAGGGCTGGGCTGTAATGATGCACGTAAGGAGATGGGCTGACACAGACAAGGTTTCATTAACTTCCCTGCACACCACACCCCTGCTGCCTGGCACTGACCTGCTCCAGGGCATGGTTCAAACTGCCCTGCTATTTCCTATCCCCTCTAGGACCTGCTCTAAAAGTCTCTTCCAAAGGAGCGATCTCCCTGCCTCATCCCCTGACTCCTGCCCTTGCGGCATGGGGGTCACTGAAGGTGATGATGTAGCAGAGGCAGATTGGCCCGGGGGGGCTGGTGTCCCTGCTGGCACTGAAGAAGGGAATTATTTCCCAAGTCAGGACTGTGGGGTGGTTGGTTCCACTTACTGGGGTTATCAAGCATTTTTTACCCAACAAATCCTGGCCCCGCAGGTGCCTAAAGAGTTGGGGGGGCCCTTGTCTCTCTTGCTCTGGGGCAGACAGTAGGTTTTACAGCCTGGTGGGCTATTCCCCTGGGTGATAGAATCATAGAATCATAGAAGTCGGGTGGGAAGGGACCTTGTAGATCTTCAAGTCTGACCCCCTGCCTGGGCAGGAGGAAAACTGGGCTCAAACGACCCCAGCCAGGTAGACATCGAGCCGCTTCTTAAAGACCCCCAGGGTGGGAGCCAGCACCACTTCCCTTGGAAGTCGGTTCCAGATCCTAGCCGCCCTGACTGTGAAGTAGTTCCTATGGATGTCTAATCTGAACCTACTCTCCAACAACTTGTGGCCGTTATTCCTTGTTATCCCGGGGGGCGCTGGGGGAAACAAGGTCTCCCCCAAACCCTTCTGGTCCCCCCTAGTGAGTTTATAGATGGTCACCAGGTCCCCCCTCAGCCTTCTCTTGTGAAGGCTGGACAGGTTCAGGTCCCGTAGCCTCTCGTTGTAGGGTCTGCCCTGCTGTCCCCCGATCATTCGGGTGGCCCTCCTCTGGACCCTCTCCATGTTGTCCACATCCCTCTTGAAGTGGGGCGCCCAGAACTGGACACAGTACTCCAGCTGTGGCCTGACCAGTGTCGCGTAGAGGGGAAGGATCACCTCCTTGGCCCTACTTGAGATGCACCTGTGGATGCACGATAAGGTCTGGTTAGCCCTGCCGACCGTGACCTCGCATTGTCGGCCCATGTTCATCTTGGAGTATTGAAACGCATCCTGTTTTTGTTAGCCCACCCTTGCAACCTATCCAGGTCTTTCTGCAGTCTTTCCCTCCCTACTAGCGTGCCCACCTCACCCCAAATTCTGGTATCATCAGCAAATTGGAACAGGTTGCTTTTCACCCCGTCGTCCAAATCGCTGATAAAGAGATTGAACAGTGTGGGCCCAAGGACTGAGCCCTGGGGGACTCTGCTGCCCACTTCCCCCCGGGTTGAATATGACCCATCCACCACCACCCTCTGAGTACAACCCTTCAGCCAATTAGCAATCCATCTGACAGTGTAGGCATCGATGCCACAGTCGCCTAGTTATTTAATGAGGATGGGGTGGGAGACAGTGTCAAAGGCCTTGCTGAAGTCCAGAAAGACTACATCCACGGCGACACCTGCATCCAATGCTTTTGTCACCTGATCGTAAAAGGCAATCAGGTTGGTCTGACATAACCAAGGTCAGAGGTCTTTGTGGCAGTGCAGGGGGGCAAGGACCATGGTGGATATTCTCGTGGGCCCCTTTGGCTTGACTGAGCTAATGGGACTGAAGAAAGCACCTTTCTTCCGTGCCTGGACAAGAGCTCAGCACAGCTTCCCCTGGGACTGGCGGATGCAGCCGTGTCCCTGGGCTGCGTGAGGGGCTCCCTGTGCTGTGAGGGATGTTACTTGGGGTCACGGGCTCCCTTCCGCTCAGGTCAGAGCTCTTGTCTGCTCCAGCTTTAGCCCAGTTCCAATAATTTTTTTTTTCTATAAATTGTCACAGAAACTCTTTAAGACCTCCCACGTGTCCCTGGCACTCACCTATCTCACTCTCCAGGGCAGACTTCAGGGCCGCTGGGGAGAGAAGGGCAAGAGAGGTGAGATGGCAACCTGTTGTGTCTCTGGGAATCATCCCCTTGGTAGCACATATAGCTGAGTGCAGACACTCACCTTTCTCACTCTCCAGCTTGGATTGCAGAAGTCCTGGGGGAAAGCAAGGTTAGAGATGAGATTTCACCCTGTCCAGTCTGTACTGAGGTTCCTACCATGAGCAGGATTGGGCTGTAATTGTGCATGTAAGGAGATGGGCACAGACAGGTTTTCATCAGCTTCCCTGCACACCACATCCCTGTGGCCTGGGACTGACCTGCTCCAGGGCATGGTTCAAACTGCCCCTTTTTTTCCTATCCCCTCCAAAATGTCCCTTCCAAAGGAGCCATCCCCTACTTTGGTCCCCTTCGACCTCTGCCCTTGTGGCATGGGGGTCGCTGAAGGTGATGGTGTAGCAGAGGGAGGTTGGCCCAGGGGGGCTGGTGTCCCTGCTGGCACTGAAGGAGGGAATGATCTCCCATGCCAGGATGGCCAGGACTGTGGGGTTGTCCCTTCTACTTACTGGGGTCATCAAGCCATCTTTTACCCAACAAATGAAGCCCTGTGGGTGCCCAAGGTGTTGGGGGGCCCTTGTCTCTCCTGCTCTGGGGCAGACAGTAGGTTTTACAGCCTGGTGGGATATTCCCCTGGGTCAGAGGTCTTTGTGGCAGTTATGGGGGGGCAGAGACCATGGTGGATGTTCTCGTGGGCCCCTTTGGCTAATGTCCATTGTGTGGCTGCCTGTGGTCACAAGGGACTGGCCCCAGTGGCCCTTCCTCTCCTGTGTCCCTTTCTCCCTCTCCCTTTCCTGATCCTTTCTGTGCCCATCCCCTGCCCAGACCCAGCTCCTCCTGGATCCTGGCGTGGGGCTGAGGAAAGTGAAATGGGTCAGATGAGTGAAGCATCGATTTGGGCTGGATACAGGGTGGGCTCCAACCTAGGCCAACCCCTGGCCTTGTGGGTAGTCCCTGACTCTAGGTGTGAGGATGAAGGGGAGAACCTGCCATTGGTACCGGGGAAGAGGAGACGTGTCCATGAAGGGATGGGGGAGAGGGGCCTTCTTCCAGCAGTTGTTCATGTCAGCCTGGGCTTAGTGAAGGAGGTGGGGATGGGCCTGGGGTGCTCCACTTGGAGCTGGTCCCCCTGGGGCACCTGCCCTGGGGTACATGTCTGGCAGGACACGGATGCATCGTCATGTCTGACAGTCACTGCTCGGCACAGCTGGAGCGAGAGCAGCCAGGCCCAGGCACCAGCCCTGTCTGGGAATGGCCCTGCTGGTCCTGAGTGCGATTTCTGTGTTACAACAACTGTAGACAGTTGGTCACTTCAGCCATCAGCGGCTCTAGGATCCCACCCACAGGCAGATCCCTGCCAGCCCATCGCCACCCTTGGAGACCAAGGAGCAAAGCAGCAGAGAGACCCCACAGTGCACGGGACACACCAGCACACCAACACACACTACAGCCTCTTCCTGTGGGAGGATCTCAGGATGAGCAGCCCTAGCATTGAGGAGGGAATAGCTGACTCTCCTCAGCACCACGTTGCCCATCCACAGCTCCTACCTGCCTCAGAGGACAAGATTTTGCCCTAACCATCTCCTCCCAGACCCTCTCCCTTTTGCTCTGTGTGCAGGGATCAGGACAAACACGTCCATAGCTGCCCAGCACAGAGATCCTCCCTCCTCATCCGTGTTTCCAGCTGAGGAGCACTGATCCGGCAGGACCGCTCGCTGCAGGGTTCAGTTTGGGTTCCCCACTGAGCTGCAGGGCTGGGAATCCACCTGGCCCCTTTCCTGGCTCAGATGTGGGGTCTGGCCTGCTCAGAGACTTCTCCCACAGCTTCAGTCCATCCCTGGGGCTTGGAGCTCCTCTCAGAGCAGTGGATGGAGACCCGTCCATCCTGTCCTGTCCCATCTCAGAGGAACTCTCCCCTCCCCACCTTGTCACCTTACCTTTTGCACGGCAGAAGTAGAAAATGCTCAGGACAATGACCACCAACATGATGGGTACAATCACAGCCAGAGCCACCATCCAGGGGGAGACCCGGGGGAAAAAGTGACCTGCAAGAGAAAGTGTCAATCACTTGGCAGCCCTGCGTGAGTAAATGCACAGGGCTGGGGGCAGCAGTGGCTTTCCCGGGGACCCTCCTCCTGGATTTCAGGCTGACGGGGCTCCTCCGTGCTTCATGCTTAGCGCACTGGGAGCCCAGCTCCAGCCCAGCTAATGCACCCACTGTCCTGCCCCTGCCCTGAGGCAGCAGAGTGGTCACTGCAGGAGTAAACCAGACCCAGCAGCACAACCCCTGCATGCAGAAACCTCTGCCAGCCCGAGGGAAGAGAGATAGCGACCTCCCCTTCCTCAGGGCATCATGAGACCCTCGTGGGAAGTGGCTCCTCACCCAGCACATCACCAAAGACAACCAATGTTCCTCCAGTCAGAGGCTGAAAACAGCTCTGTGTGAGCTTGTCCTGAATCTCAGTGTGACCCCTCGTGCCAGGCGGCGCAGGCCGACCCCAGGGGCGCAGTCAGGACTGAGGTGCTCGAGTGCCGTCAATGCCGCCCACAGACGCTGTCCCCTGCAGCGCTGCAGGCACCGAGCGAATGCCGGCCGGGGAGCCCGGGAGCAGGGTTGGGATGCAAGGATGCACATAAGGAGATGCGCTGACACACAGACAGGTTTGCATTAGCTTCCCTGCACACCACATCCCTGCTGCCTGGCACTGACCTGCTCCAGGGCATGGTTCAAACTGCCCCACTATTTCCTATCCCCTCCAAAATGTCTCTTCCAAAGGAGCCATCCCATGCTTTAGTCCCCTTTGACTACAGGACACAGGGAAGGGCTTCCTGGCACCAGAGGCCAACCAGGAGAGTGTGTGCAGGTACCAGGAGCAGTCTGGGGGTTAGCCAAAGCGTGGGCAGTGCAGCCAGTGCAGCCTCAAGTGCAGGGTCATGGGGACGTGTCCCAAGGAGCAGTGAGGTCTCTCAGGGGATGTGTGCATGGTGCAGCACAGCCCCGTGCTGGGATTGCTGTGCAAGCTCTGCACGTGCACCCCAGAGCCCAAAGCAGCGCGTATGGCTCCAGAGCCCCTCGCACGGTGCCATGTCTGGGGAGTCGCTGCTCTACAGTGGGGGCGAGGGGGCAAGTCTGGGAGCCCTGCCCATGTTTGAAGCTTTCACAGCACAGGCTGATGGGAAGCCCCTTGTCCTGTCTCCCTGGGAGCCTGGTCCTGCATCTGGGTTTGTGTCTCCTCTCCTCCCCTCCCAGTGCTCTGGACGTGCACAGAGTGAGTCAGGGCACTCAGAGCCCAGGGCTCTCCTCTCTGAGCCTCCAGCCCGATGCACTGGTGAGGGCCCTTCGTGCTCCCTGTGAACCGTGCGCTGATCTCAGCAGCTGCAGCAACCAGAGGCCCCGAGATGAACAGTACTGCATGGACCCCGTGTCTTTGCTATCCCCATGTCATTCTAGTTGTGACCACACAGTAAGGGCAATAATTATTATTAGGGGATTTGATAGGAAACAGAATTACATGGGCTCCTGTAATCACAAGAAGTAGGGCTGGAAGGCACCTCAGGAGGTCTCTTCTAGTCCAAGCCCCTGCTCAAGGCAGGATCATCCCTACCCCGACCATCCCACACACGCGCTTGTCTAGCCTGTTCCAAACACTGCACAAACGACCCTCTCGCACAGGTAAAAGACACACAGCCGAGGACACCAAGAACAGCCTCACCTGACATGCAAAAAGCAGGGGACAAGGACACTCTCTACATCCTGCCACTGCAAGGTTGTTAAATACACTTCAGAGACCCAAGGAAGAGAGCCATGCTGTTACCCGTCAGCTCTGTGTTCCCGAGGGAGCCCGGGCACCCAGCTTGCTGGACTTACAAAGGACTTTTTCTTTCCCCCTCCCCACACCTCACCAAACCACAACTAAGCAGAACAAAAGTGTAATAGGCATCTTGGGTTGTACATTCCCGGTCCCAGTATGGGAGGCCTTTTTAAACTTGATTGACTGGATCTCGGTTGGCGGGTTAGGGAATGCTGAGCCAAGAGACAGAGTCTGAGAGGATATGGGCAACATTTGAACAATGGTTCAGGGTTCATCGCAATGTCCAGCCTGTTGGAGCCCTGGCCACAAATGCTGTCCTATTTTTCCCAGGATGACTGGTGGAATTCCTCCCCACAACGTTTATGAGCGCTCCAAGTAATGCCCTTAAGTCTGTTAGAAGACTACGGTAAGATCTGAAAGTCATGCTAAGCAGAGGCTTATTCACAATGGGTAAAATACAAAACCCTACACTGCAAGCAGAGCTAGGCCAGTTGAGAAGAAACCATGTGGTATCCCTTCCAGTTTATCTTCTGTATTCATAATCATTTCAAGCTGGCTCCTAGGTGTCTGGTTACTCCTTAAAACCTTATATTTTTCCTGGTTGTTAATCCATTTCTTGAGATGTTCCAAACCAGATAACCCCTTGTCACTGGAAAAGGTAATTCATGTACATTGAAACTGTTCCTGTAACAGGATTTTCCCTGTCAGTTATGGCTTGGGACCCTCTTGATTTACACACCTAAAAGAGTGCCTTCAAGAGGCTGGACTAAGGGAATAAGAAAGATGTAAAGCAGCAAACAGTGTGCTTCAAGAGAGAGAAATCTCTGTGACACCGTCCACTGCTGTTCTCGGGAAGCTGGGAGAAACAGATCCTCCCTTTCCATCGCCTGTTTAACCTTCAAGGATCGTGCTGGGAATTTTGCCTGCCAACAAAGCACCCGAGTGCCTTGGGACGGGGAGATCCCAGCTCTCGTTCTCGCTCTCTCTCTCTAGGCATAGCTTTCTGAACCTGAATTGTATTAGTTAAGCGTGAGCTAGGTTTTCCCAAATACTCAATTAAACCAGGGTAATATTGTAATTGTTTCTGTTTGTTTTTCCTTGCATGGCTATTACTACTAGTAACATCATAATTTCATATATTTAGCAATAAATAGCTTTATGGTCAAACTGGTGGTAACCGGGTGTATTTTTCCTTCTCTACTTCCCCTTCCCCACTTGCTCTGCAGCAACGCTTCTTTTACCTAAGCCAAAGATCCCCGTGAAGCCCCAAAATACTGTGGGCTCCTCTCATCAAGAGGCTACCACTGCTAGGACGGTTAGGGCAAAAGACTGGGACATACTGAGTTGGAGACACAGAAGGGGATCAGCGTGTACAGGCTGATTGACCCAGTTTGGCTCAGACGTGCCCCAAGGAACTGAATGCTGGCCCA